CTTTCTACATACAACACTAACCAAAGAAACACTGAACAACAAACAAGTAGTTAAAGTTAGGTGGTTTAGAAAGGATACTGCAGCTGACCGTCTCTTAAACTATCACTCTAGTCATGGGAAATCTATAAAAACAAACATCGTCAAAAATATGACTCAAAGAATCATTCAAACAACAAAAGATGCAAAAGAACAACAAGAAGATCTCAATAAATTACGAAAGATGCTAATTAATTCTAATTATCCTATGAAAGAAATAGAAAAACTTATAAAAGAAACTTGTGAAACATCAAGTACAAATAAGTCGTCAACATCAAATAACAAAGAATTTAAATTTACCATCAGTTTACCATACGTTCCTGGAATCGAAGTACTTAAACGAAAATTAGAAAAATTAAATATTAAATTATATTTTTCTTATCCAAATAAAATACAAACATTTTTGAATCAACCGATGAAAATACAATCAAAATCAGTGGTATATCAAGTTCAATGTGACTGCAACCCACCAAAGATATATAATGGTGAAACAAAAGTCGGTATCAAAAAGAGAATGCACCAACACTATCAACTTATAAACAGACTCGATAATAAATCAGAAATGGTTCAACATATTGAAGAAAATCGTTACCAATGCTTATTTAATACTGAAAAAGCTTTTATAATAGAAAAAGAAAAAAGTTGGAGTAGAAGAAAAGTGAAAGAGTCAATTTATTCATTAATCAATGATTCAATTAATAAACATGATAATCTTAGTGAAGCATGGGATCCAATTCTATTTAAAGTTAAACAACAAATTCAAAGAAAAATTCAAAGAAAAATCCGACAAAAAGAACAGCAACAACAATAATCAAACAACCACATGTGATTAAACCGGACAAGACGGTAAGAGTGATACGTAAATGAATCATCAATCCAGAACAATACTACTACCGTCTTGTTCCGTATCACTATTAAATAAAAAAGAAAATGAAAGAAAAAAGAAACGGACTAGTCTATATTATACATTTTTCTCTTAAAAATGAATGTACATATATAATTATGTGTTCTTAATTTGTAAATTATATTTTATAACATCATGTCTGAAGAAGTTGTAAACTACAACGAAACATAACATTATTTTCAAATAGATAATAAAAAAAAAAAAAAAAAAAAATACTATGTTAAATTAAAGTAATTAATTAACTAGGAAGAGAATCCAATATGACTAAAGAATTAATAATTAATTTTCTTTCTTGAATTATACAACTAATAATCTCATTTGGTATAACTTTTTTGACTGTTTCATAATCTTCTACGTCAATTTTAAATAACCCTATTGGTAATAATTTGGATGAAACCTGCTGTGTTGCATTAAATTGTGGACAGCTAATACATAATACAAGTAGTTTTAATTTTTCCCCTATTTGTGTCCCGTCAATAGATAAGCGTATCGTCATAGCTATTCGTATTTTTGTGACTATAGAGGCATTTATATGAATTAAAGTTTTAATAGCATCTTCCATCGTAATATATGAGCCAAATGCCGTATTCTTCACATGTATATTATTGTTTAATCTTTTACGCTCATTTCTTATTGACCAGATAGTTGGTATAGAAGAGTGGATTTTATGTAACTCATTCACGGCGTGATCAGATATATTATGTTTTAATTTCCAATAAGTGATGATACGGTCACTGTCTTCTTTTAGATTCGTATTTCCTCGTGACGCTTGTGTGGATGAGTTGTGTTTGTTATCCTCAGATGGATTCGATGAATCGGAAGAATAGGCATCAAACGGTTCTATTGACTTTCTTGGGCGTAACGTGTATTTAATTGGTGGCTTCGTTGAGAAGGGTGTGAGTGTGAGTGTGGGTGTGGGTGTGGCCTTTGGTGAGCAGAATACTACCACACATCTACTACACCCACACCAACACCCACACCCTTGTTTGATTCTGAATATGGGTTAGGGTTCACGGGAGATAAATCTTCTTCTATTCAATTACTTGGTGCAGTTGTTACACGATCAAAATCTAAAGCAACATCAACTAATATTACCTCTTCATCTTCACCACAACAGCCACAAACTTCTTCAGATGCTTCATCGTTTTCTTCAACTGTTTCTAATCATTCAAATTATCTTGTTCAACATTTCGATATTACAGAATTAAAAGAACATCAAAATAATGATATTCAAATTCAAAAAATTATTAATAATTTAAAACGAAATCCAAATATTTCTTTTGATCTTAAAGATGGAATTTTATATAAATTACAATCTAATTATCATGAAAAAACAAAACGAACATTAATTTATATTCCATCTTCCATGATAACATCATTACTTGTTTCTTATCATGATAATCCTTTAATTGGTGGTCATTTTGCGGTTAGAAGAACATTAAATAAAATCCAACAACAATTTTGGTGGCCAAATATGAAGCAATCTGTTATTGATCATATCAAATCCTGTGTTGTTTGTCAAGCTTATAATGTTAGTCGAGAAAAACGTCCAGGATTTCTTCATCCAGTTCCACCTCCTGATGGTCCTAATCAATTAATTGGAATGGATTTTTGTGGTCCATTTCCAACAACACCACAAGATAATAAATATGTTTTATGTCTCACAGACTATTTTACAAAGTTTGTAACTGCTATACCATTACCAGTATGTTCTGCTTAAGTTACAGCTGAAGCTATTTTTAAAGATTATATATGTCGTTATGGTGTACCAAAAGCAATGATATCTGATCAAGGTTCCAGCTTCAAGAATCAACTGATGCTTTCACTTTCACAATTAATAGGTTATCATCACATTCTTTGTACTCCATATCATCCTCAATCTAATGGACAAGTAGAACGTTTCAATGATACATTCGTTACTCAAATTGCTAAATTAACTGATCGTGAATCAAGCAATTGGGACGAATATTTATATCCAATTATATTTGCATATAATACTGGTATTCATTCAACAACAAATATTTCTCCATTTGAACTTACATTCGGTCGACCAGCAAATCTTCCAACAGATCATCCACCACGAGCATTTACATTTTCAAAACCTAACGATTATTTTCATCAATTAGTCCGTAATTTAAAACATTATCATGCAGCAGTGAAAGAAAATATCTTACATCAACAACAACGATCCAAAATTAGATATAATTATCATCGTCAAAATCCTGAATATTATTTGGGTACAGCAGTTCTAACTCGAATTTTTACTACAAGATCAAAATTAGATCCAAAGTTTTCTGTTGATCCAAAAGTTATTATTAAAGAAGCTCATCCACTCTATTGGGTTGAAGATATAGAAACTAAAACAATATCAAGAGTTCATATCAATGATATAAAACCATTATTGATTCAACAACAATAATTATTTTATGTCTTATTCATCGTAAATGAAAATCAAAAAATCATCATTTGTTTTGATATTATAATTTCAAAATTTTTGTAATCGTGTTTCAATTAATGGACATGAATTTTAATCATGATTATGTATGACAACTCTTGCTGGACAAGATAAAGTTATATATATATATATATTTGTCTTGGAATTGAAGACTCAATGTTTACGATTTGTGGCCAAAATCGTAACTATTGTGTTCTTAGTATAATTATCACGTTTACAATGAATTTTAATTATATAATATCAACACCGAATGAATTTATTTGATATATTTACCCTTAGCATTAATAATTCATCAAATATTAATTACTGAATTAATTTGACTATAATTTTATGGAAAATATTTTTCAATAATTAACGTCTTATTTTTGATGCTTCATCGGGCAACGAATTTCTTGATAATATTATTCTTTACAAACTACACTATTACCATTATATATTATTACTCGTATTATCAAATATATATATATATTTACAATTCATTTCACTCTTAAACAATTCTTATATTATTCAACACCACAAAAAAAAAGCTGTATAGAACACCTTTTTTTTCATCAACTGGGGAGAGTGTTATGATCCGTGTTGTTAACACGAGATCATATTGTTTTAGGAAATGTCTTCTTTGCTTTTTCTTCTCTTTGTTCACATTTCTCTCTTCTCTTTATTCTTTTTTATTATCTATGAAAGGCGCGTTTTGCAGTTTCTCTCTGTTGTGTGACAAATTATGAGCGTATGTTTTATGTAAAAACAAGAATTCAAAAGAAGAAATATATATGGTAAAGTTTGACCATAACAATTGGCGATCCTGGCAGGAGACTCAATTAAACCTGCGTATTTTATTTATTAATGATTAATTTAAAATTTTTATGAAAACACGTACTAAATTTGATTTAAATAATACATTAACAGCTGCTCTTCATTTTACATCTTGCCGTCGAAAATCAACAAAACAAAAACAAGAATCATCTGTTTCACTAAAATCAAATTCTTTACCTACTTCTGATAGTTTTCCTCAATATTCAAAATTATTTCCGATAATGTCCGAATCAGATGATCTTTTGGAATTAGAACAAATACAACTTAAACAATTACAACTTGAAACTAAAATTTTATCGAAAATTCCTATATTTAAATCATCACAAGAATCTAATGTTACTGAATTTCTTACTCCAGCTGATGATACATTCAGCAAATTGAAATATTCTGATCATATTCGACTTAAAAAAATTGAAGAAAAATTAGATGCTTCATTACAGTCGTGGTTTACCAACTTTAAAAAGTATGGTATTTTCACATGGAATGGTTTTAAAAATGAATTACAAAATTGTCTATCATCAACTTCATCATCATCATCAAACACAATAATTGATAGTAAAACATATGAAACTGAAACACGTCATCAAAGTAATTTTGATAAAACAGCATTATTATTGGATGTACTTCGTAAAGATATACTTCATTTTTCTAGTGATGGAAATGCTCGTCAATGGTTTTTACACATTGATGCAAAATTTTCTGAATTACAATTATTATTCCAAGATCGAATTGAAATTTTGCCATATTTTTTTATTGGTGAAACAATTATTTGGTACAGTTTAAATAAAAATAAAATACGATGCTATACTGATTTTTGTCAATTATTTGCACTTGAATATTTTCCAAAGGAATATTCAATCGATTGTTGTATTTCAGTGGAACAAAAAAATAATTCATCATTACCTTCACCTCTTGTTGTTAATGAACATTTCGTTCATCATCCTACCGGTGGTGCAAATGTTAAAACAACATCAGCTGATTGTCATAGTGTAACATCATCTGATTCAAAAAATGTTCTTTCATCTACATCTATTTTATCTCTAACTATATCTAAAGCATTGATCGATCGGTTCGTTAAAGATCCTATTAAATTCTATGGAGGAAAAGATAATGTAATTACCTGGCTTGATGTAATCGAACAACAATTTAAAATTATGAATTTGAGTGAGTCAGATAAATTAAATTTAATTCATATATGTCTTAAGGGAGAAGCACATCAATGGTATAAACAAAATAAAGAACAATTTACTTCCTGGTCGATATTTGTTACTGATATAACAAAATCATTTACGTCGTCTTTACAACGTGATTTAGCATTCAAAAAATTAAAACAATATCACCAGACATTACATCAATCTGTGACACAATATTATTCCGAAATGATTAAGTTAATGAAGCAAACAGATCCTCAAATGAATAAATCAACTAAAGTACAATACCTTATGAATGGACTTCGACCATCCTTATCAACTGAAACAAGAAGAAATTATCCAACGACTACACAAAATTTTTTAGAACGAGCTAAAATCGCCGAAGAACTTACTGCATTAAATACCACCAATACATCCGATTCAATAATTGATGATGATTTTACATCACCTGCTTCTTTGTTACATTCAAATTCATCTAATTCAACGTCAAGAAATAATTCCAACATTTATTCTCGAAATTCAAATAGTGATAACCATCATTATAATAATATTAATTTATCTAATTCTTCGAATCAACCACGTTATATTAATAGAATTTACGACCAAACACCTTATAATTCACATAAAGGTATTGAACTTTCTCATTTATCTAATACAGGAACTAGTATTCAATCATCACAAAATTCTCAGCAACCACAGCAACATTATAATAATAGTCATAGAAATAATTTTCAACAATATCAACAGTCATCATTTCAACAATGTTTTAAATGTGGATCTTTAGCTCATCAAGCACGCCATTGTCACCATTTCGAAAAGCGGAGTCAATGATTGGTGGCATTGCCTCCGACAGTCACCATCAATATCCATCAACTTTTCTTCTTTTTATTACTACTTATGTAAGTGATCAATATTTGAATATCATGATTGATACTGGAGCCCAATATTCATTTATCAATGAAAAATGCTTCAAATCTAATGATCAATTAAAATATTCTAGTACACAACATCAAACATTTTTCTTAGCTGATGGATTAACTTCGTTTATAGTTACATGAACTGTTAATTTAAACATTCATGTAGGTCATATTATAACAACTATTTCAGCATTTGTAACAAAAAATTTATGTGCAAATCTTATACTTGGTATGGATTATCTTTCGAAATATGATGTAGAAATACAACCAAAGAAAAAAACAATTATATTTAATTTCAATAATCAAAAGATCATGCTTCCTATGAATACAGTACAAAAATCTATTAATTTGTCAGTCAAATTATTATATTCTACTCGAATAGCACCTCAATCAGAACAAAAAATTCCTGTTAATGTTAATATTCCATCAGCAATTTTAGCATTTCATCCATCATTTAAATTTGTTAAAATTACTTCTATTTATACTCCAGATTCATTATTAAACATCAAAAATTATTCCACATCATTAACTGTTATTAATCCATCAAAATTTCCATCTTTTTTACGTAAAGGATTCATTGTTGGATTTGCAACTTATAATCCTTATGAACAATTTTATGTTGAAAATAATGCAAATTTATCTATACAACAAGTGCCTGATCCATTATTTAATCAACTAAATACAATTGCTATACCATCACAATTTACAACATCTCAACAAGAAATTTTAAGTTTAATACAACATCTTACTGATTCTAATCAATATAATCAAATTAAATTATTATTGTTTAAATTTCAACACACATTCGACACAAGTCAATATAAAACTGCACAAACAAAAATATTTCATGCTATTGAAACATATCCTCATACACCACCTGTTTCGAAGTGTTATCCTGGAAATCCAACATCAAACTTAGAAATGCGTTTAATTGTCAATAAATTATTAGAAGCTGATCTAGTACGTAAATCTCAATCACCTTATGCAGCTCCAGCATTATTAACAAGAAAAAAAGATCAAACATGGAGATTAGTTGTTGATTACAAAAAGTTAAATGCAATTACAATAAAAGGTAATCATCCTCTCCCTAACATGGAGGTCACACTTCAAACTCTTGGTGGCGGTTATCATTATTTTTCGAAACTCGACTTGAAGTCAGGATTTTGGCAATTGCCTATTGATGAAAAAGATCGTCATAAAACAGCATTTATAACTCCATTTGGTTTGTATGAATGGAACGTACTTCCTCAAGGTCTTCGCAATGCTCCTCCAAGTTTTCAACGCATTATGAACAATGTATTATCATCATGCATCGACTTCTGTTTGGTTTATTTAGATGATATTGTCATCTTTTCTCGTAATTATGACGAACATTTAATTCATTTGGAACAAGTGTTAACTGTTTTACAGGCACATAATTTAACATTAAATCCACCAAAATGTCAATTAGCTAAACAAACAATTGAATACTTAGGACATGTAATTAATTCAACAACAATTACTCCATTACCGGATAAAATAAAATCAATTCTTTTATTACCAGAACCTAAATCATTAGCTCAAGCAAATCGTTTTATAGGTGCATTATCATGGTACAGAAAATTTATTCCAAACTTTGCAAGTATTGCAGCACCTATTCATGCCGTGACCAATCTTTCGAAATCACATCGATATAAATTTAAATGGGGACCTGAACAATCAAAATCTTTTACTGATTTAAAACAATTATTAACATCATCTCCACTTCTTTTAAATTTTCCTGATGATACACAACCTGTATTATTATCAACTGATGCATCTAATGTGGGACTAGGTGGTGTTCTTTACCAAGAGATTAATAATGTTAAAACAATACTTTATTATCATTCCGAATTATTATCATCATCACAAAAACGTTATCATCCTATTGAACTTGAAGCACTAGCAATATTTAAATGTATTAATCGAATGAAATCTTTTTTACTTGGTCGAGATATAATTATTTACACTGATAATTGTCCTATTTGTCATATGATGGACAAAAAAATTGCTAATAAACGTGTTGAAAAAATATCATTATTACTTCAAGAATTTAATATTCAACAAATTATACATGTCAAAGGAAAATATAATTGTCTACCTGATTATCTTTCACGACATCCTATCTCATATGATGATGAATTGTTTGATTCTGATTATGGGTTAGGGTTCACGGGAGATAAATCTTCTTCTATTCAATTACTTGGTGCAGTTGTTACACGATCAAAATATAAAGCAACATCAACTAATATTACCTCTTCATCTTCACCACAACAGCCACAAACTTCTTCAGATGCTTCATCGTTTTCTTCAACTGTTTCTAATCATTCAAATTATCTTGTTCAACATTTCGATATTACAGAATTAAAAGAACATCAAAATAATGATATTCAAATTCAAAAAATTATTAATAATTTAAAACGAAATCCAAATATTTCTTTTGATCTTAAAGATGGAATTTTATATAAATTACAATCTAATTATCATGAAAAAACAAAACGAACATTAATTTATATTCCATCTTCCATGATAACATCATTACTTGTTTCTTATCATGATAATCCTTTAATTGGTGGTCATTTTGCGGTTAGAAGAACATTAAATAAAATCCAACAACAATTTTGGTGGCCAAATATGAAGCAATCTGTTATTGATCATATCAAATCCTGTGTTGTTTGTCAAGCTTATAATGTTAGTCGAGAAAAACGTCCAGGATTTCTTCATCCAGTTCCACCTCCTGATGGTCCTAATCAATTAATTGGAATGGATTTTTGTGGTCCATTTCCAACAACACCACAAGATAATAAATATGTTTTATGTCTCACAGACTATTTTACAAAGTTTGTAACTGCTATACCATTACCAGTATGTTCTGCTTAAGTTACAGCTGAAGCTATTTTTAAAGATTATATATGTCGTTATGGTGTACCAAAAGCAATGATATCTGATCAAGGTTCCAGCTTCAAGAATCAACTGATGCTTTCACTTTCACAATTAATAGGTTATCATCACATTCTTTGTACTCCATATCATCCTCAATCTAATGGACAAGTAGAACGTTTCAATGATACATTCGTTACTCAAATTGCTAAATTAACTGATCGTGAATCAAGCAATTGGGACGAATATTTATATCCAATTATATTTGCATATAATACTGGTATTCATTCAACAACAAATATTTCTCCATTTGAACTTACATTCGGTCGACCAGCAAATCTTCCAACAGATCATCCACCACGAGCATTTACATTTTCAAAACCTAACGATTATTTTCATCAATTAGTCCGTAATTTAAAACATTATCATGCAGCAGTGAAAGAAAATATCTTACATCAACAACAACGATCCAAAATTAGATATAATTATCATCGTCAAAATCCTGAATATTATTTGGGTACAGCAGTTCTAACTCGAATTTTTACTACAAGATCAAAATTAGATCCAAAGTTTTCTGTTGATCCAAAAGTTATTATTAAAGAAGCTCATCCACTCTATTGGGTTGAAGATATAGAAACTAAAACAATATCAAGAGTTCATATCAATGATATAAAACCATTATTGATTCAACAACAATAATTATTTTATGTCTTATTCATCGTAAATGAAAATCAAAAAATCATCATTTGTTTTGATATTATAATTTCAAAATTTTTGTAATCGTGTTTCAATTAATGGACATGAATTTTAATCATGATTATGTATGACAACTCTTGCTGGACAAGATAAAGTTATATATATATATATATTTGTCTTGGAATTGAAGACTCAATGTTTACGATTTGTGGCCAAAATCGTAACTATTGTGTTCTTAGTATAATTATCACGTTTACAATGAATTTTAATTATATAATATCAACACCGAATGAATTTATTTGATATATTTACCCTTAGCATTAATAATTCATCAAATATTAATTACTGAATTAATTTGACTATAATTTTATGGAAAATATTTTTCAATAATTAACGTCTTATTTTTGATGCTTCATCGGGCAACGAATTTCTTGATAATATTATTCTTTACAAACTACACTATTACCATTATATATTATTACTCGTATTATCAAATATATATATATATTTACAATTCATTTCACTCTTAAACAATTCTTATATTATTCAACACCACAAAAAAAAAGCTGTATAGAACACCTTTTTTTTCATCAACTGGGGAGAGTGTTATGATCCGTGTTGTTAACACGAGATCATATTGTTTTAGGAAATGTCTTCTTTGCTTTTTCTTCTCTTTGTTCACATTTCTCTCTTCTCTTTATTCTTTTTTATTATCTATGAAAGGCGCGTTTTGCAGTTTCTCTCTTTTGTGTAACAAATTATGAGCGTGTGTTTTATGTAAAAATAAGAATTCAAAAGAAGAAATATATATGGTAAAGTTTGACCATAACAACCCACACCCACACCCATACTCTAGTCACACTCCAAATCATTGGGGAATAGAAAAATTGCTATATGCTTTAATGCACTTTATGGAACGTGTACATCCTGCACATGTTAGGCAATTAGTACGCTTTCCACACGTTTGGTGCGCGAACTCCGTATTGCGACAGTCCGCTTACTAATGCCGTTTCGTTCGACATGTGATATATCAAGTTCAATGATGCTGATTGGTCACAAATTAATCCATCAATTACTATTGGTGCATTAGAAGAACTTCGTGATAGAGCTTTGTGGTTATTCCTTGTTTGCTCTTTAAAATATTTTTCACAAAATACCAGTCACTTGCAAATAAATCACTTGTTCCATTTTTAGGTAAAAATTTTAGACCAGATTCTTTTATTAACTTAGATGCATAAAGTACACAACCTAAGTCAATGCTTTGTCTATGAAATTTTACTTTTATTGGTGTATTCAATGTTCCATTCCGAATATGATGAGTTGTGAAGTCCCACGCAATTATATCGATTCCAAGAAGTGAGGCTTCATTTATGATACTAAATAAATTGATATTATATAAGTTATCACCATTGGTAAACATAATATAGACACAATTATCATTTTTTAAAATATAGTCCATTGCAATATCAGTACCATCATAACCATAATAACCATGTTTTGCTGTAATGTTTATATGATAGTGAAGATTATAAATTTGACATGTTTGATAAATATTATTTAAATCTGATATAATTGTATCTATCCACATGGGAAAAGATGTTCGTAATGGATGAGTATCTATGATGTAAATCTTTACAGAATTACTTCCTGCTAATAGTGATGTCAACATAGGAATTAACTGCTTTCTTTGTCCTGAAAAAGTACGAACTATAACACATATTTGATTTACAGGAGGATCTATTTCTTGATTTCGAACTCTGCATATTGGTAATGAGATATGTGAAAATGGAAAACAAAGTCTATCAGGTAGATCTGTATTATTGCATTTTAAATATTTTCTTAAATATCTAAAAAACTCTTGTGCTCGAATATCGTATGTATGGCTTTTCAATATTATCGAGCGCAGAAACTTCTGCTTTGTGTGATATATGCGTTTGTTCTTTGGATCTAAATAATAATTAAGCAATTTTGTCAAGTGATTTCCATCTTTATAAATCGGTAAAGTAGCATTGAAAATCTCAGATGCACCATACTTATCATTAGATAAAACAAGTATTCCAGATGCAAGTGCATCATATACTCTTGAATTTAATGAACCCCATTTGACTGAAACTAAATTTGAATCGTCAATTACAATTTTAGTTGAATGATAAATATCAACGATTTTTTCATATGGAACGAATCCTTTCCAAATTGTCTGAAGTGTATTATTAGTTTGATTCCATCCATAACCATATACTGCTCCTTTAAACTTTGAAGCCTTCTGTGGATTGAAATTCATAATAGATCGATTAGTGTTCCAATAACTACCCGTAAAAACATAATCATATAATATACTGACACGGCTTTTACCTTTGGAAAATCGACGAGGATTTGTTGCTATACGTAATATTTGTACAGGGGTTGTCATAATTATAGACCCCCCTCATATGTACATAGAAAAATGTTTATTTTATTACAATAAGGAATGATATTGATCTGCTAGGTGCGCATCTACGTGAGACTAATTACGACTATCTGATGCTCTAGCATCTCTCTTTTATCTCTTGTTCTTTGGAGAAAAAAATTGGAGAAAACTGGAAAATGCCTGTAGCATAATTATAGACCCCCCTAACAAAAAATCATATTATCTCATCGTTTAAAGCGTTCCAAAGCTGCAGTTTTAATATTTCATTACCATATTAACTGCTTTCTACCTTTTTCATTTTATTGGGAGTTTTCTCAGAAATATTTCACTTCAAAAGTTCAAGATTTCAGGCATTTGTTGGACTTTCGTCATATGCTAGCCAAATTCTCGTAATTGATATTCTTTCATATGCCATATTCCATTAATAGTAAGAAAGTGGATGTCGTGTCTCGAAATCATACCAATAGAATCGAAATTGAAAAGGATTTGGCTTGATGAAACTAGTAGATTCTTCTGTTCTGTAATGATTCTTTCAAAAACCTTTCAATTACACGGTCAATTTTAGCCCATAAACCAAATCCAATAGTATGTTTAGAAAGAGCGCATCAAGTTGTACTTAACATATGCAAAAACTAATAAGAAGTACAGCTCCTTCAAAAGCTCAGANATAATAAATCATTACAAGATTTAAATTCTAACTGCGTTTTTAATTCTGCTTTATCAACTGCAATATCTAAAGCATTAATTGATAAATTCATCAAAGATCCAATTAAATTTCATGGTGCTAAAGATAATGTTCTTGAATGGATTGATGAACTGGAACAACAATTTAAAACCATCCAATTATGTGATTCAGATAAATTAAATTTGATTCCCATTTATCTTAAAGGTGAAGCTTATCAATGGTTTCAACAACATCAAACACAATTAACATCATGGTCCATCTTTATCACCGAAATAACTAAATCATTTACTTCAAATTTACAACGTGATTTAGCATTTTAAAAAATTACAACATTATCAACAAACAGTTCATCAATCAGCTACTCAATATTATGCTGAAGTGATGAAATTGATTCAACAAGCTGATCCACAAATGAGTGAATGAACAAAAATTCATTATCTTATGAATGGTCTTCGTCCATCTTTAACCACTGAAACCCGAAGACATTACCCAACAACAACACAAGATCTTTTAAAACAAGTCAAAATTGCTGAAGAACTCACGGCATCAAGTACCATCTTTGCCTCCAACTATATTGATAATGATGATACAACACCATATCAAACCATTTCAACATCAACAAATAATTTTAAACATTCTTCTCGAGTTTACAATGAGGATTATCATTATCATAAAAATCCACAACATTGCTTAAACAAAATTTCTAACTCATCATATGATAATTCATCCGAACGACATCAACCATCTCATTTAACTTGTGAAATACCTAATATTAAATCATCATCAAATTTTATACCATCATTATTAAATAATAATAATCCATATCAAAATAATAATCATGCATATCAAGACAAGAATTTTAAACAACAACAACAATCATATCAACGTTGTTTTAAATGTGGTTCATTCGATCATATAGCTCGTCACTGTTACCATTTCGAAAAGCAAGGTCAATGATTGATGGTATTGACTTCGCCGTTTCATCTCAATATCCATCTAATCCTCCTCTTATATATTTTACCACACACGTTGACAACAAACAGATGCCAATAAGGATTGATACTGGAGCACAACGTACATTTATTAATGAACAATATTGAAGATTTTATGATGATATGAAACTTTCAAATGTACGACGACAAAGATTTTTTTAGCAGATGGTTTAACCTCATTTATTGTTACAGGAGTTGTACATTTAAATATTTATATTGGTGAAATTAAAACAAGTATTTCTGCATATGTAACACCAGTATTATGTACCAATCTCATACTAGGTATGAATTATCTTTTAAAGTATAATGTTGAAATTAAACCAAAGAAAAAAATAATATTGTTTAATTTAAATGGTCAACAAATCAGCATACCTATTGATATTAAATATCATCACCTGATTTTCCTCTCAGCTCATCAAATTCTCAAACAACAACAACAAATACACAATTAAATACAATTACAACACCACCTTCACCTATTTTACCTCAACAAGTTATTCTGAATTTATTATCTCATATTACTTATCAAGTCCAACATGATCAAATTCAATCATTATTATTGAAATTTCAATCTACATTTGATACAAGTAAATATACAATTGCACGAACAAAAATATTTCATGCTATTGAAACATATCCTCATGCTCCACCTGTATCAAAAAGTTATCCGAGTAATCTAACAACAAATTCAGAAATGCGATTGATTATCAATAAATTAATCACTGCTGGTCTTATACGTGAATCTAAATCTTCATATGCTGCTCCTGCATTATTAATAAAGAAGAAAGATCATAGTTGGAGATTAATTATTGATTATAAGAAATTAAATTCAATTACGATCAAAGATAATTATCCTCTACCGAACATGGAAATTACTCTTCAAACATTAGGTGCAGATTATCATTAATTTTCCAAACTTGATTTAAAATCCTGCTTTTGGCAATTACCTATTGATGAAAAAGATCGTTTTAAAACAGCATTTATCACTCCTTTTGATTTATACGAATGGAGTGTTTTTCCTCAAGGTCTTCGTAATGCTCCTCCAAGTTTTCAACGTATTATGAACAAGGTATTATCATCATGTACTGATTTTTCCTTGGTTTACTTAGATGATATAATCATCTTCTCTCGTACTTATGATGAACATTTAATTCATCTCAAACAGATTTTAAATGCTTTACAATTACATAATTTAATCGTTAATTCAACAAAATGCGAATTAGTTAAACAAACAATGGAATATTTAGGACATGTAATTAATTCAACAACAATTACTCCTTTACCTGATAAAATTAAATCTATTAGTTTATTACCTGAACCAAAATCATTAGCTCAAGCAAATCGTTTGATAGGTGCATTGTCATGGTATAGAAAATTTATTCCACGCTTTGCTAGTATTGTAGCACCTATTCATGCAGTCACCAATCTTACTAAATCAAATCGACACAAATTTAAATGGGGTTCTGAACAATCTAAAGCTTTTCGTGATTTAAAACATTTATTAATATCGTCTCCACTTTTTCTCAATTTTCCAGATGATACACAACCTGTATTATTATCATCATCACAAAAACGTTATCATCCTATTGAACTTGAAGCATTAGCCATATTCAAATGCATTAATCGAATGAAATCTTTTTTATATGGTCGAGATATTATTATTTTCACGGATAATTGTTCACTTTGTAATATGATGAACAAGACAATATCCAATAAACGAGTTGACAAAATATCATTATTATTTCAAGAATTTAATATTAAACAAATTGTACATGTTTAAGGTAAATATAATTGTTTGCCAGATTATCTTTCACGTCATCCTATTTCATATGATGATGAATTGCTTGATTCTGAATATGGATTAGAATTTCGCCAAGATCAATCATCTTCTATTCAATTAATTGGTGCCGTTGTTACAAGATCAAAAGCAAAAGCAGCCGCTAATGCTACTTCATCATCATCTTCACCACCACAACAACAATAAACACAACAATCTTCACCCGCTTCAACTACTCTTAATCGTTCATCATCTATCAATGAACCATTCGATATTACTATATTGAAACATTATCAAGATGATGATATTCAAATATAACAAATTATTCATGATTTTAAAAAAATCCGAATATTCTATTGGATTTAGTAGATGGTATCTTATATAAATTACAAGCTAATTATCATAATAAAATAACACGTAAATTAATTTATGTTCCATCGGCTATGATAAAATCATTAATTATTTCTGATCATGATAATCCTTTGATTGATGGTCATTTTGCTATTCGATGAACATTAAATAAGATTCAACAACAATATTGGTGGCCACGGATGAAACAATCTGTCATTGATCATATACAATCTTGTGTTGTTTGTCAAGCATATAATACTAGTCAACAAAAACGCCTCGGATTTCTTCATCCAGTTCCACCACCCGTTGGTCCCAATCAATTAATTGGAATAGATTTTTGCGGTCCATTCCCCACAACACCAAATGATAATAAATATGTTTTATGTTTAACCGATTATTTCACCAAATCAGTAACAGCTATACCATTACCAGTATGCTCCGCACAAGTAACAGCTGAAGCTATATTTAAAGATTATATTTGTCGTTACGGTGCACCTAAATCAATTATCTCCGATCAAGGTACCAGTTTCAAAAATCAATTAATGTTTGCGCTTTCACAATTACTTGGATATAATCATATTCTGTGCACTCCTTATCACCCGCAATCAAATGGACAAGTAGAACGTTGTTATGGAACATTTGTTGGTCAAATTGCTAAATGAACTGATCATAAACACAACAACTGGGATGAATATTTATATCCCATTGTACTCGCATATAACACTGGTATTCATTCAACAACAAATATCAGCCCATTTGAACTTACTTATGGTCGATCAGCAAATTTACCAACTGATCATCCACCAACATCATACACATTTAATCAACCTAATGATTACTTTAATCAACTTGTTCGTATGTTACAATATTATCATGAAACTGTTAAACAAAATATTATAAAACAACATCAAGCATCAAAAATTCGATATGATCATCGTCGAAAAAATCCACAATAGGATTTAGGTACAACAGTTTTAACTAGAATATTCACCAACAGATCCAAATTAGATCCACAATTTTCACTTGATCCAAAAATTATTGTACAAAAACAACATCCTATTTATTGGGTAAAAGATTTAAATTCAAATACAACATCTAGAATTCATATTAATGATATACGACCCTTATTTGTTCCTTCAATTACTTCATCAAATTGATTTACATATTTTTCTTCATGTATTTAACACCAAATATGTTTAACATGTTATGATATAAAAAAAAAATTTTTTTTCATGTGTTGCATTATGTCATTTAATGGATCCATTATCATCATGTACAAGATCAACTTGATGATCAAGATGAACTTATATTACTTTTGATCTTGAAGAATCAATATTTATTACTTCTGGCCAAACTGATATTTATGATTTTCTCAATGGCATTTAACACATAAAAATGATTTTATTATCTAATATTGACAATCAAATGATTTATGTTATTACATCGTCAAACCGGTTTATTATTCTGCAGATATTATTATTTCTATTCGATTAGTTATCTTTC